TTACCTTCAAGCTTTTAAGACCCCAGATGCTATATCTTTCGATAGCCGGGCACCATCAGCTTTCTTCACCACACTTGCTTACTCACCCACTTTGTCTTCAGCGGTTGTGTTGGGAAGGTGAGCATCATAGAATGCCAATTACAGCTCTTATAATCCATCCATCCATCCATTCTGTCAAGCACATTTATACATGTTGCCATCATTTCAAAACATTTTCTACTTGAGCCCTTGGTATCAACTCATTTCCTCCCGCCCCACCCCCCCACCCCCAATGAACCCTTGACAATTTATATTTTTTTCATGTCTTACACCGACTGCTGTCTCCCTTCACCCACTTTTCTGTTGTTCGTCTCCCTGGGAGGGGGGTATATGTCAATCATTGTGGTCAGTTCCCCCTTTCTCCCCACATCGTCCCCTTACCTTTCCAGTATCTACACTCTCATTATTGGCCCTGGGGATTTATCTGCCCTGGGTTCCCTGTGTTGTGAACTCTTTTCTGTACCAGTGTACATGCTCTGGTCTAGCCCAATTTGTAAGGTAGAATTGGGGTTATGATAATGAGAGAGGAGGAAGCATTAAAGAACCAGAGGAAAGTTGTGTTTTATCAGTGCTATACTGCACCCTGACTGGTTCCTCTCTTCCTTGTGACCTTTCTGGGAGGGGATGTCCAATTGTTTACAGATGGGCTTTGGGTCTCCACTCTGCCCTCCCCCTCATTCACATTGATATGGTTTTTTGTTCTATGTAATTTAAGCTTTAATACAACATCATGGCAGTTTGCTCCTTTGGTACTGTATCCCATTTGTCAACCTCTGACCTCTAGTTCTTGGGACATTAGCTAGCAGCCTTCCACCTGGCTTGCTGATTGAGTCACGAGAAGCCTCCAGCCTGACAGTAGACACAACTGTGTGAGATATTTTCTTGAAATAAATCTCTCTATATATATTTCTCTGGTTTGTGTTTCTAGAAGACCCAGATTAAGATAATATTGTTTAATACTGAAACCTAGAAGCAGCAGCAACACTATATAACATTAAGTGGTTATGAAAATTAAGCTGAAAAGAAATTTATAACAGAAAAGAAGAGCTTGCCTAAGACGCTCTGGTGACCTAGTAGACTATGCACTGGGCTGCTAACCACAAGATCAGCAGTTCGAATTCTCCTGCTTTTCAGTGGGAGGATGCTGGGTTGGAGCTTTCTACTCCTGTAAAAACTTATAACTCACAAGGGTAGTTCTACCCCATCTTACATGGTCGCAATGAGTCGGTCGACTCGATGGCAGTGAGTTGTTTTAGAGTCAACTGTGAAGTCAACTGTGACTCCTGGAGCTCCCTGCGCACAGGGTGAACAGTTCCTCAGGGTTTCAGCGGAGTGGCAGGTGGACTTCCCACACACCGCTGGTGGGTTGGAACCACCAACCTTTGGGCTAGTAGTCAAAGTGTTAACCGTTTGTGCTACCCCGAACTCCATTGTAAGGGAAGTAAATAGAAACACAAACGACACACAGTCCATGAAAAAACGCTCAGCGTGATTTAGCAAGGAATGGTGTGAAAACGCTTTGAAAACAACTCTGAGGTGCTGTGGCTGTCATTATTGTAACCTACCCACCCACCCTTCCGAAAGGACGTCAGGTTCAAATCCACTGTTCTTGTCTTTGCCTCCTCCACTTTTGGAACCACATTTTTCGTTTGTTTTCCACTTCATTTCCCTTGTTAGTGGATAACTGTCAAACGGAGCCAAGAAAATACCCTCATACACTATTTTACAAAGAGTATTTCTAATGCTGTGGAAACACTGCCAAATCGATCCCACAGGATAGAGTAAAACTGCTCCCGAGTTTCCGAGATCCAATCAGTACGGGAGCACGCAGCCACATCTTTGATCTGGTGAGTTCGAAATGCCGACCCAGCTGCAAGCAGACCAGCACCGAACCCAACTGCGCCGTCCGGGCCCCGCCGTCACAGCCCCCTTCCGCTGTGAATCCGCGGGCAGCCCGGCGGCCGCCTTGCCTCACTCGGTCGAGACACCAAGCCTCTGGTCGGCCCGGCCGCCCGCCCCGCCCCGCCGGACGCTGCATCCCGCACAGCGACCTGGGGAGCACGTTCTGCCGTGTAGCACCGTGTCGCTTTCGGAGTCAGTGCCGCCGCCAGTTCCTGCCCCACCCTCCAGAAACTGTCTCCTCCGGAGCGTCGCTCACTTCCGGGAACGCGCGCGCTTCCGGCGCCCGGAAGTGCGTCATCAGAGCGCGCGGCCGCGCACGCCGCGGACTTGCGCCGTAGAGCGTGTCAGAGTGTGGGGCTTCAGCCCGGGGAGAAGGGTGGCCTGCACACAAGCGGGGGTCGCCGCATCTCGGCGCGACAATGCAGGTGTCCAGCCTCAACGAGGTGAAGGTTTATAGTCTCAGCTGCGGCAAGTCCCTTCCCGAGGTGAGTCATTTCAGCACCCGCGGCGTGCTCGAAATCTTCGGGGTCCACGCGTGGGGCTGCACCTTCTCCGGGCCCTGCCCCGAACTTCTGGTTTAGTTGGGCCCTGACCGGCCCCCGATTCGGGGAAGCCCCCAGGGAGAGACACCCCCCCTGGTTTAGTTGGGCCCTGACTGGTCCCCGGTTCGGGGAAGCCCCCAGGGAGAGACCCCCCCTGGTTTAGTTGGGCCCTGGCCGGCCCCCGGTTCGGGGAAGCCCCCAGGGAGA